TCTCCATGCTGGAGGGTGTGGTGCCCAAGAGGCTTCTCCAGACTTTGTCCTGAGGGCTTGGAGCCCTTCAGGTGTTTTAATCTGCGCATATCTGCTTTTTAGATGATCACTGCCTTGGGCTGTGTGTGAGTTCAGGGGGAGGACAGCATGTGGGCCTGGTGGTGCTGGGGCCAGGAGGGGCAGTGGTAGAAGAGGGAGGACTGCCCCAGATGCAAGGCTGGGTGCTGAGATCAGAATGGAGGAACTGGGAGACTGAGTGCATCTTTATTTTGGGGAGGTGGGGAGAATGACAACAGAAAGTGGCCCCCTCTATTGGCCTCCAAGGTTGGAAGAGCTTAGGACACACAGTGGGCATCTGCTGTATTCCAGGAATAGTACTGAGTCTACCCTTAGGTGTTCACGCGCCACTGGGGCAGGTGGACACATGGGACTCTGTCATCCATCTGCCTGCCTCTGGTCTTGGTGTGTGCCATGGAGGGGCATGGGTCTGAGCTCAGACATAATGAGGCACCCCACCATCAAGTCATGGCCATGGGCTCCCTGGGAGTCCGATTTGGTGGCTATTAGAGTGCTACTAGAGCCTGGGCAGGGAGGCCATGGGAGTCCTGGGGTGTGTTCCATGTGATTTGGGGAGTAGTGCAAGCCCTAAGCTAGCATCTCAGATTCAACTTGAAATGCTCCTCTTGGGATTGTGTCAGGTTGATTCAGCTCTTTCTAGGCAGGGAGTTCAAGTCTGAGACAGAGGGTCCGCCTGCTCTCAGGTCACCCCCACCCCATCTATGGCACTTGGTGGGAAGAAGCCCTGTCTTCTCCTTGAGCCATGTCTTGAGCTTTCCCTGGATAGAGTTGAGCCTTCTCCCCTGCACAGGACCTGCCTGCATCTGCTCCCCCACATGGCTCTTTTCTTTCTCCTCTTCCCTTTGCCTACCCACCTGCTGGCCCTGAAGTGTCCCGTTCCTCTGACATAATTGTTCACATACTTGCAGGCCCAGCTCAGATGGTCCCTGTTCTAGAATCCTTTCCTGACCCCATCCTCCCACCCCACAGCCCCTGAGTTCCAGAGAGTCCCAGTTTCTCCCACTGGCAGAATGCTTCCTCACGTCTGCACGCCTGCCCGTGATGGTTTGGTGAGGGCTTGTGCCCTATGCCTCTAGGGACCTGTTCAATTAGTATCTCCAGGGCCATGTGGCTGCCCTGTCATTGGTGCTGGATGACATGCTGCTGAATGAAGAAAATGGGGACTTACTCTAAATTGTCCAACAGGCCGATCCACTATCCGGGAGGCTCTTAGTAATTGAGGAAAGGAATTGTGGGTGGGAGAGGGACATAATTTTGAGTAGGATGAAGAAATATCTTCCATTCTTTAACTGAGTGGCTCCCAGGGATCTGATGTCCAGAGAGCCTTTGCCCAGAGAGAAGTAGTAGATGAGCTTCCCTGGGTGTGTACCTGTTAGGTCATAGGTCACACTGGAGTCAGCATTCTTCTGGAGAGAAAGTATCTGGAGGAGTCAGGTTGTAGATCAAAGCTCGTTCCCACCCTGATATGGACCTTATACTCCTGGAGAGGAGGCATCAGGCTGACCCTGGGCTGGGGTAGGGGTGGGTCTGTGTACTGGCCACTGAGTGCCCCTTGCCCTTCCCAGCCCTTCCCAGACCTGGTCCAGACTCCACACAGCCCTCTCTCAGTTGTTTCTGCTTAGCCCCCTGGCCCTCCTGTAGAGAGAGGGAGACAGAGTGGGTGCTGTTGACCAGCTGCCTAGAGGCCCCTCTCACCAGGGTGAGCAGGCTGGCCTGGCTGACAGACAGCCAGTGGGCTTGGTGCCAGGCCTGTGCTGGGTGCTGAGGGCGAGGGAACAGACTGGTCCTTGGCAGTGTGGCTCCATCCAGAAGTGGTGACACATTCTAGGGCAAGAATCTTGTCCTAAACTGTGCCGTGGACTGCGTGGGCATCAGAGAGACCTTTGCACCCTCCTCAGCATGATGTTTTTAAATGCATGAAGTAAAATACAGAGGATTACAAGGAAAACCAGTTAAAGTGAAATACAGTTATCAACATGTTAAAAAATAAATTTGTGGTATAGCAATATATACTTCTTTATCAACACATTAAATAATAAAAGCCGCAGGTCCAATACCCACCTTAATTTTGAAGTAGTGAGAGCAAAAGTGATATTTGAGATACCGTGACATCAATGATATATGAGAATATCTGTGATTTTTGTTGGTGACAGTCATTACACTACTGATGCTATTGTGGTTAGTTACTTACATTAAGAAAATTTGAGAGGTTAGAGCAAATAAACATAATTTTTTTTCCCCATCCAAGTAAATGGAGTCCTAAAATTCTATTGGTGAATCCCCAGGGGTCCATGAGCCTTGAGTAAGAACCCCGCAAGCAGATAGCCATTGAGGGCAAAGGAAGAGGTTGCTCAGAACCGATTTTGGGAATGGGTACAATTGGGGGGTAGGGAACTGGTTGCAGGAGCAGCAGGATCACCCTTCCCTGGGGCTGCCCCAATCCTGGCCACTGGCCGCTTCCTGGGCCCTGGTGGTTGGTCCGCAGGTTGCGTGCTGGCCTGTGGGGGCCAGAGCTTATTCTGTGGAGGTGTTTGATGCCCGGGAGCCACTGTCTGCCAGCCCCTGCTGTCTCTGCCTGTGCCCTCGGCTGCCTGCAGAAAAGTATACCTATGCTGGGACTTCAGGATGACCTGGCTCTTGCCGTTTGAATTCCGGGTGCCTGTTAGAAGTTCCAGCAGAAACCAGTTGGAGATGTTTTATGAGTGCTGCCTTTGCTGAACTTGCAGAGAAAAGTCACCTGCGTTGGCTCTGGGCCCAACATTCTCTCTGGTGTTTGGTTTATGCCATGAGAAATCAAAGGGCATGTCTCTATAAACCTTGATTCTGGGGGTGCCCTGCCGTAATGAATGCCTGCAGCTCAGCAGCCTGCCTGCTGGCTCAGGCCGGGCTGCCTTCCCTGAGCTGCACAGTATCGGGCAGTATTGTAGGCTCTCCTTGCAATAGCAGCAGAACTCACAGAGAGGTGCCTTATCGAGTTTTTTGTCTCAACCTGGGCTGCTTGGCCCTCGGGCCAGAAGGCCATAGTCTGGATTCCTTGGGGGATTTAGGCCTCTCAGAAGGTTCTAGACTAGAGGAAGCCCAGCCCTTCTGAGAGCCTTCCAGGTGGGGGTGTGGTGGCAGGCCCAGTGATGGGATGGAGCTGGCACCTGGTGTGTTTGAGGAGGGAACTGAGCCAGAGGGGCCAGGAGTGGTGGAGAAGGAGGTGGGTGGCACTGGGCTCTGCAGGCTGAGGTTGGGATTTTCAGCCAGTTCTGCTGTTGAGGCCTCTTGGATCTGGGCATCTGTGGCAGTGCCTCGGTGTCATTCCTCGGTGCTGCTGGGGAGTCTGTAAAGATGAGGTTCTTCTCTGTGCCCACCCCACTCCATGGGCTTTGCTGAGTGGGGGAAAGAGTGTGCGGGACCCTGGGGGACACTGCAGGGATGCTGACGGCTGCACTTTCAGTTCCTGACAGTGTGGCCGCTGGGATGCAGGCATTATGACTGTCTCCTCTGCCCTCTCATCCTGTGGCTGAGCCTGACAGGAAATGGTCTGACTTACTGGGAGCCTTAGCCCCTTGTGTCCACCCTTCTGGGAGAGGATGGAGGGGAGGAGACAGGGGAGAGGGGAGGGAGGCTGTAGTCCTGTCAGCATATGTAAGCTGTGCATGGCCCTCCACCCATCCCAGCCTGGCTGGGGCCCCAGGGTTCTGCTTCCTGCCCTGCTTGAGGCTGATGTGGCAACTTCTGATCTGCACGTGTGTGTGTGTGTGTGTGTGTGTGTGTGTGTGTGTGTGTCCATGTTGTGACTATTGTTTACTCAGCAAATAACTGTTGAGCACTTGCTGTGTGCCAAGCAGGGTGCCAAGTACTGGGCATAGTAGTGAGCAGAGCAGACTGGGTCTCTGTTTTCACAGGGTGTACAGTGGGCAGAGGCAGACCTCACCAATGAGCCTCAGTGAACACAGGCTGCGTGTGTGTTAGCAGGGGAATGTGTCCTTGCAGCTGGGGACCTGGCTGAGCCTTCCTCAGTGGTGACTGAAGAGAATGCAGTGCAGGGTCGGTTTATAGAGCTGTGGGCAGGTTAAGGGAATCGGCGGAGAAAGGGGAGGGAAGCTGGTCAGGAACCATCAAGGGCTGCGCTACAGGAAGGGCAGCCTGGCGGGACTGTGGCCCTGTGTGAAGGGCCTGCCAGCAGTCATAGTTCCAGACTCCGCCAGGGGCTAGGAGTGGATTCTCTGTTCTCCCCCCCCTCCTCACCTACTCTCGTCTCCTCCTTCCTGCCCCCTCGGTGCCTCTCCCTGGCTGGACCCACCTGGATGCCAGAGGCGGAGAAGCTTGCTGATGAAGAGTCCTCAGGTGTTCCCTGGGCGCAGAGCTGGGAGAGTGGAGGAAGCCCAGCTCATACCGAGTGGGAAGGGGGGGGATAGGGGAGGGATGCCAGGGAAGACCATCCTGAGAAGGTGGCGTTGGAGCCAAGATGTGAGGAGGGTTTCTGCCTCTGAGGGTCCCATTGTCCCTGAGCGGGTCTACCTCGGGCTGGCCAGTAGCCTGTGGGTTCTTGACGTCGTGCAGGAGATTTTGAGAGCACGTTTATTAAAGCTGGGGACACTGGCACCAGGAAGGGCTTAGGATAGAAGAAGCAACAGGAGAGCCTAGGCGGGGCTGCTTGGCCTGCTCCCGGGAGGGAGAGAGGACCCTGAGACCTTTGTTTTGAGGGATTTTAAAGATTAGAAGGTTAGGGGAGGTCTTAAGGAAGGATCTCAATAGAATATTCATTAGCTTTTCCAGGTGTAGCCTTTCAAAGTCATGGTCTCCACTGATTGGTTGTTGCAGCTGGTCCTGGCTTGTGCCCTGGTTTTGCAGCTTTTCTGGGCCTGGAGCTGAAATACAACTGAGGCCTAGATGCTACCTGTAGGGAGGTGACCTTCTGTACCTGCTGTAAGTCGCTCTGCAGTTTGTTCAGCATCTGTCTCCGTTTCCCTATCCACTTGTCCTGGCTCACTGCCCTGTCTCACCACAGCCAGGTGAGTGCATGAGGTGCCCGCTGCCTTCGAAGTTCCATGTGCCTGGCTTGGCTCTCTCTCATGCCGTCGCAGGCAGAGCCCTCACTCTCACCTCAGCTCTGGGCTGCGCTCGCTCGATCGCTGAGCCTCCACGCCCACCCTCCCCCACCCCACCTGCTGGGGCTGCCCTTCCTTCCTGCACTTAGGCATTCAGCACTCTCAGGTGCTGGAAGGAGGCAAGGTCCCTGCCCTCCTGGAGCTTACATTGTACCTGGGGGGCCAACAGTCCAGTAAACGTGTGATGTTAGGCAGTGGCACATGCTCTAGAGAGGAATGAAGCGAGTAGGGGATACGGTTTGGGTGGGTTTTTGAAAAAGCTTCTGGGAAGAGGGGCATCTCTGCAGAGACCTGGGAAAATGAGGACGTGAGCACCGGGAACAGCAGCGCAAAGGCCCTTGCGGGGTGGGGCGTGTGCTGGTGTTCAGGGAAGAGTGAGAATGCCTTGCAGGCGGAGTTTGGGTGTTGGTTCTAAGCTCCTCAAAGCTGGGGATTAAGCTTGGCTGTGTTCCGAGTGCACCCGTAAGCAGGAGGCTTGAGCAGGGGCGTGCCTGCTCAGATTTGCATTTTTGAAGGGCCCCTTGGGTGGTGCACACCAGGCTGCGGGGGAATCTGGGACTGAGAGCTGTTAAGAGTTCCCTGCAGTGGTCCAGGTGGAAGATGGGAACTCCAGCGTGGAGGGGCGAGCAGAGGATGGAGGGAGCTGGTGTGGCTGGAGCTGGAGCTGGGCAGGGAGTGTGGCCCTCAGTGTGCTGGGCACCCAGAGGCCTGTGGGTGCTGCAGTGCAGGGAGGAGCTGGGCTGAGACCTGATGGAGTGCCATGAGAGAGCATGGGTGGCCAGGACATGGGGATGGTGGGCTTAGGTGACTTCAGAGGATGTTTACTGCACAGGGGAGAGAACTAGACTGCTGGACGAGCATGGGGGTCAAGGGAAGGGCTTTTATTTATTTATTTTAAAGAAGGTGAGGTTCCTGTGTGTCTGGATGCCGAGAACGCTCCTGAGGGGAGAATTGATGCTGGAGCAGTGCAGGGAATAGGCATCGAGGTGGGCAGCCACGCCAAGTGGAGGAGCTGTGGGAGCAGGAGTGGGGAGTGTCCAGAGGCAGGTGGGGTTTGGGGAGTGGGTGCTGGGAGGATAAGCTGTGTTTCTCAGTGAAAATGGAAGCCAGTGTGGGGGATAGAGGTGGGGGTACACACCCACCTGCCCTGCCAAGCCTGGCTCCTCGCAGCCCCAGTGAGTCTCAGCAGCCAATCCCTTGCTGGCTGCTCTCCTGAAGGTCAGCACCCCTGGGGCTGCCACTCCCAGGCCCATCTTGTCATGGTTCCCCTTGGTCACTCAGCACACACTCCTGGGCCTGGCGCTGAGTGTCCTGGGTGTGTGTGTGTGGGGTGGGGGGGGGCTGTCCTGAATGTGTGTGTCCTGAATGTGTGTGTGTGGGGGTG